TTCATTGGTATATATCCCAAGGTATGGTATGGTAAAGTATGTATATCATATGATTGTACATTTTTTATTTTGATACATCTTTTAATAATTGTATGATTTAGTGATTAAAATAAAATAAATAATTACAATCATTTCAATTGGTTTCTGTTATATATATAGTTATATTTTTAAATTTATTTATTTTTAATTTTATATTAAAAAATAATAATTTTTAAATAAATATATTATACAATATTTTAAAACAAAGAGTATACTAATCAACATCCATATTCTTTTCATCTTCTTTTATTTCCTTTCCTTTCTCATTTTTCTCTCAATCCAAACATGTTATGCCAGTCTCTAATATATATTTTTTAAAAGTGTATGTGAATTTATAAAGCCAAAATCCTATACTGCGAGTACGTCATTGATCCGAGGATATTCCTTCCATAGTCTTTGCCTTTGATATTCAAACATCTATAATGGTCTAAGACTTGAATCTAAAATGACTAGTGGGAGCAGTTAGCTCTACAAAATATTACGTTAAAATTACATAAATTTTGTTTAATTTAATTAATATTTTATTATTTTATAATATTTTTAAACCATAAATTATAATATTTAAAAGAATTTTTTATTATATATTTTTTAAAACATAAAATAAATATGTAATAAATATTTTTTTAGTATTTGGTGTCATAAAAATTTTTTGAGTTAATTTTTAGATAATTTTAAAGGTGTATTTTCAGATTAGTTTAATATAGTTAAAAAATTAATTTTTTAAATATTAATTATAAAATTTAAACTTTAAATATAACATATAAAATGATATTTATTTAACAATATATTAACCCTTAAAGGTTAGATGTTGTTGTTGTTAGAATCCTTACTGCATCAAATAAAAAATTGCCATTGGACCGAAAAAGTTTATTATACAATCAATTTAGACCATGTGGATCTTCATATGAAAAATTGTTAGATTAGTAGTGAATTTTAGTACAAATTAACACCCTAATTTTATATAAAAAAGCACAATTATTAATAATATATAAGTGTAAACTTTAATAAAGTGATTCAATTGGTTAAAAACTTAAAATTCTAAATTAAA